GGTGAGTGAAGTCACCTGTTGACATATGAAGTCCTGCAGATATGGATGGGTTCTTTTGATTCTGGTGGATTTTCTAGGCAGGGGAGAATTGACTGGTTCAGCATCAGCAACCTGCAAGTTTATTTGTTCTGTGGTTTGTTTAGTTTGGCTTTGAGTTGTGTCATAGTCTTCACTGTAATTTTCATAGCTAGGAATTGGATCGGGCTTGATATCAGGCTCTTTAGACTCTAGGAATATGTGACCATTTAAAGTAGGAGTTGCTGGATTTTGATAGATGCAAGGATCAGTAGGATTATTGATTTCTGCAGCCTTGACTTCTTTAAAGGGAAAAATAGTCTCATAAAAGACTACATTTCTAGCTATAAAGATTTTATTAGTCTGTAAATCAATGAGTTTGTACCCTTTAATCCCAAAGGGATACCCAAAGAAAACACATTTTCTGGCTTTGAAATCGAATTTATGTCTGCCCTGCATGAGTGTGGTTGCAAAGGCTAGACAACCAAAGACTTTAAGGTGAGAGTATGATGGTTCCTTTTGGAATAAGATCTCAAACGGGATTTTATGATTCAAAACGGATGAAGGCGTTCTGTTGATGAGGTAAACTGCAGTCATAACACATTCATTTCAATACTTTAATGGCAATCCACTTTGAAATCTTAGGGCTCTTGCAATGTTTAAAATGTGTTTACTGGTTCAGCATCAGCAACCTGCAGGTTTATTTGTTCTGTGGTTTGTTTAGTTTGGCTTTGAGTTGTGTCATAGTCTTCACTGTAATTTTCATAGCTAGGAATTGGATCGGGCTTGATATCAGGCTCTTCAGACTCAAGGAATATGTGACCATTTGAAGTAGGATTGCTGGATTTTGATAGATGCAAGGATCAGTAGGATTATTGATTTCTGCAGCCTTGACTTCTTTAAAGGGAAAAATAGTCTCATAAAAGACTACATTTCTAGCTACAAAGATTTTATTAGTCTGTAAATCAATGAGTTTGTACCCTTTAATCCCAAAGGGATACCCAAGGAAAACACATTTTCTGGCTCTGAAATCGAATTTATGTCTGCCCTGCATGAGAGTATGATCGTTCCTTTTGGAATAAGATCTCAAACGGGCTTTTATGATTCAAAACGGATGAAGGAGTTCTGTTGATGAGGTAAACTGCAGTCATAACACATTCATTTCAATACTTTAATGGCAATCCACTTTGAAATCTTAGGGCTCTTGCAATGTTTAAAATGTGTTGATACTTTCTCTCAACTATGGCATTTTGTTGAGGGGTTTCAACACAAGATTTTTGGTGTATAATCCAATTTTCGAGATAGAATTCTCTCATGTTAAACTCTCCTCCATTATTAGATCTAATAATTTTTATTTTGGTTCTGAATTGAGTTTCTATCATAAGGTAAAAACTTTGTAAAGCTTTTGATGCATCAGATTTAAATTTTAGCATATAGGCCCAAGTGCATCTACTGAAATCATCAACAATTGTGAGAAAATAACGTGGTCCATCATAACTCATTTCATTGCAAAGTCCCCAAAGATTAATGTGTATTAAATCAAAACATGTCTCTGATCTGTGCCGACTTACAAGGAAAGGGGGCTTGTGCATTTTGGCTAAAGGGCAGACACAGCATGGTTTAGACATATCTAGCTTAGGAATGATTTTGTTGGAAGAAATAGAAAATGATGGATGTCCTAATCTATAGTGCCAAATATCAAACGTTTCTGAAGAGCTGGTTACAGGTGCTTCAATACGTGGGATCTGTGTTAAATGATTCAAGCTTTGCTGAAGAGCCTTAGGGGAAACTGGTGTCTTCACTAGATGATAGAGGCTTGACTTCAACTCACCCATTTCAGTCGTGGTCCAAGTCAAAAGGTCATGTATGTAACAATATTCAGGGAGAAAAATAACACAACAATGTGAATCCAAAGTTAGTTTCCTAACAGATATTAAATTGAAATTAAAAGAGGGGACACATACACATTATGAAGTGTTAAGGTTTCTGTGATTTGGCTTGTTCCAATCTGTGTAACAGAAATGGTGTTCCGATTTGGCAGAGAGACAGAACAATTAGTTTGTGATTTAAAAGAAGTGAAATGAGATGGTGAACAGATCATATGATCTGTTGCACCAGTGTCAAGTATCCTGGAGTTTTGTGATTGTCACAATTTTTAGTTCTAACAGATGATAAACAATAAGATGTACCACATATTTTTGGAATGGTATTTTCTGAGTTTGATTCGGCATTTTGACCCTGGTTGGTTGATGGTTTGAGAATGGCCATGAGTTGGAAATATTGCTCTTATGTTCCTGATTTGGAGGCATAGTGGTAATGGCCTGATTTGCAGCTGGTTTAAACATGCTCCTTCCTTCATTCCTGGGATTTGATGGATATCCATGTAACTTAAAACACTTATCAGCCTTGTGACCATGCATTTGGCAATGAGAGCATATAGGCTTATCTGGATTGGCTTTGAAACATCTCTCAAGGGAATGTCCTGCCATTTTACAAAAGGTGCAGTAATAGTCCTTCTTCTGTAGTGAAGTTCTCTGTCTACTACTTTCTCTCCAATTTCCTCTAGGCACAAAAGATAGATGCTCATTCCCAGATCCTTCTACTGATATTTGCCTCCGTTTCTCTTCATGTTGGATAGTTGCATAGACTTCATTCAGAGTGGGAAAAGGCTTCATTAGTATAATCTGTGCCTTAATGTTTTTGTATGACTTATTTAATCCCATCAAAAATTTCATCACCCAATCTCGTTACTGGTTCTCAAACACAATCTTCAGACTTCCACAAGTACAATTGGGGATGATCTCATAGTTCAGAAGCTCATCCAGAAGAGTCTTAAATTTGGAGAAATAAGTACTTACATCATCTTGGCTTTGAACTAGAACCATGATCGCCTGCTTCACCTCATAGATTCTAGGGGCGTTTTGCTGTGCAAAACGCTGCTCAAGTTCTAACCACAACTGATGTGCGGTTTCAGCATAGACAGTGTTGCATCTGATGTCTACTTCCACAGTGTTTTGAAGCCAAGTAATAACTATATCATTGCATCTTAACCAATGCTCCATCAGAGGATCATCCTGGTCAGTTGGCTCGCAAATTGTTCCATCTATGAAACCCAATTTATTCTTGATTCTAAGGGCTCGCTTGATGGATCTAGCCCGGGAATGGTAATTGTTTGCTTCCAGCGTTTGAGTAACCAATATACCCCCCATTTCCATCATTGCTTTCAATGAAGTAGTGGCTGCTGGGTGTGTAGGATCGAGATTTTTGAAATCAGTGTTAAAGTTTTGAGTTTAGATTTGCACTAGCATTTGATGATTCTGTTTGGACTTCAATATTTGGTTGTACTTCGACATTTTGCTCAGCCATTATTTGTCTCTGACACCATATAAAGAAATGAAATTAAGATAGAATAATGGATGCCAATGCAATGAGTTGAAAAACAGAAGATTTGATTCCAATCTTTGTAAAATAGATTGATGGTTATTGAATGAATATTACAACCATATATATACTTACAAAACCGATACAAAATGGAATAATTACAAAGAATCAAATATTGTTACAAAATAACAAATTCCATGTGATGAAGCCTCCTAGATCCTCCTCATCTTCTAGATTGTTCTTATCCTGCTGGACCTTCATTGTTATCGAGCTGGACTTCTTCAACTGACTGTGATGACACCTCATCCGCCACATGGTCAGCTTGCTTATCACAATTTAACAAAGAATAAGATCAAGATATCTAACTTTTTATTTAGAATGGGTGGCATATAATATTAATAATTAAAATTTTAAAACAATTTTTTGTTTAATCATGCTGCTTGAAAAAAAAAAAAAGAATAAGTTACAAATAAAAAATAATTTAAAAAGGATAATTGTGAAAAATAATTATGACCAATTGACATCGAAAATTTCGAACATTTAAATAGGTGAGTACAAGAGTTCTCAATCGATTTTTGTCCTTGTATTTTTATAGCACCAATGCTGTATTCATAAATTCTCTCAAAAATGTGTACCCCATGAAACACTTTTTCAGACTTACACTGAATAAATAAAATTATTTTTTGTAGAAAAAAATAATAATTAATTTACAATAGAAAAAAAATTATATATAATATTTTAAAAGAGAAGAAAAAGGGGAAGAAAAGAAAAGGAGATTATTTATTTATTTAAAAAAAAACCATTCTTATTTAATTAAGAATGTACTTAATTCTCGATATTTATCAAATATTTTTTCAAATATGTTGTTCATAAACAACACTTTTTGAGGACTTAAAAAAAAAAAAAATCCTTTAATTTTAGAGTAGTAAAAGGAAAATTTACAAAATACACCCCTAAATAAAGTGTATTTTTACTCTTTACACACCATATTTAAAAGTTTACATTTTATACAATATTGCGTACAAAACACATAGTTCGCTTAAATGTTATAGATTTTGTTCTCTTTGTGTGAGTAATTTTAATAAAAGGGAAGGCAAAAATAAGAATTGCTAATAGAGATATATTATTTGATTAAAAACTTTCGAATGAAAAAAAAAATGTTAATTTAATCAAGAGATTCAACAAAAATTAATTTGTTTTAGATAAAAAAGAAAATAATAATTAAAATTAAAAAATGAAATAGTTAAAATATAAACGTTGCATAATTTAATATGTAGAGTGTGAATTTTTATTCTTAAATTGAGGTTATTTTGGTATGTGACCTATTTGTAATTTTTGAAGCAAAAGATGTGTTATTGTTACCATTCAGTAAAGAATAGTGTATAGAATGTAAATTTAGAAAATACAGTGTGTAAAGTATAAATATATGTCAAGGGCCGTAGTTTGCAAGTCTTTCTTAGAAAAATGATTTTCATTCATGATCAAGAATTGAAATTGGGAAGACTCGAGACTCAAAAGTCGTTGTTTATGCATTACCTTCCACTTTCACCGTAGCTGCATTCAATAATCAATCAATGGGAATGCCATTAAAATCCTTAATTCAGATGGCTATTGAATCAGCGTCAGCAACACCCCAGAAACATCGCACCATGTTCCAGTGGGGTGGAACCGTCGCCGCCATGTACGTCATTTTATAGTTGGTTATTTCATTTTTGAGAATTCTTTCATCGATTTTACTTTGATTAGTACTGGGTAGTTGTTATAATGCATATGGGTTTTTATTTATAGTTTTCTATTTGAAATTTTATTTACGTTTTGTTAGATATCTTTGTTTCAGTCCTTTTTGCTTTGCAAATTAATTGGGTCTAATATATAATTTTGGGAATCATTATTGAGTTCGAATGTCGTAAGATATGATATAGTATTGCAGATTTGCAAGTTTAAAAATGCTCTGCTTTACTCTTTGAAAATGAGTGATTATGCCAGATACTCCAGTAATTTGACTAATGTGTAGTATTACTTCTATGATATTGTTCATGTCGAAATTTCCTGAATACTTGCAGCATTTATGAAGAACTAAGTATCTCTGTATCTGTACATTTTATTACTCGTATTTCGGTTTTCTTATACTTGCAGAAGATCATATATCATGACACTTTCTTGATTAATTGGCTTGAGACAATTCTCAAGGAAGTAGTTTTACTCAATCTTTATATATGCTATTATGCCACCTTTTACAAAGTTAAGTTTACTGATGAAAGATAGCTACTTGCAGCTAGTTTTGGAATTGAGATTGTTGGTCTCCAAGAGATAGGACCTATTAAGTTGGAAAGTATCGGGAAAAAATATGCTAGTATACTGGGGATGACTACAATATGGTTTTCAGTTATTGACCTCTTCCCCAAACTGGTTTTGAATTCTTCATCTTATTACACCCTTGTTAAGTAGCAAGTTTCTTGAGTAGATCGATTACAGGATTGTAAAGGGGTCCTAGAACTAGAAGGGGCAAGTTTAGCTAGACAAAAATTCTTCTCACTAAACATTAACTTGAGCATTTAAATTGTTAATTATGGTTGACTTGTAAGCTGAGAAAAAAAAATGTCAGAGTATGTTGCTTGTAATAGTGGGTACCTAGTGTGCGCAGAAAGTTCCAAACATTATTGGCATGAATTTTAAGCTCAAGAACAGCGTGGAGTTAATTTGGGTATATCTTTTTCTGTCAATTTTTGTATGTTGGTTTGGAATTTGGCTCTTGTACATCTCAATGTGAAGGTTGAGTTGTGGTTCTTTCCATCATCATCTATCATCTTTAGGTAGGTTTCAAACTCATGTCATGATGGCCACAATAGAATGCTAAATCACTGGAGTAAGTACAATATCTATCAGTATGCCGCATCAGCTCATATGTAAACCTCATGCTCAAGTTTTGCTCTTAAACAAGTTGAAGAATTTAATGAAGTGCAGAAAGTATCATTCCTGTTAACCGAAAGCACAAGAAAATCTAAAACGAGACCTCAAACAGTGTGTGTAATGATTCGGTAAACAGAAGTCTTCTAATTCATCACAGCTGAAGTCAGTTTCACTTCCCTGTTTCTTCAGAAGAACTAAACTAAGCAAAAAAAAAGGTCTTGTAAGTCAACTTATAAATGAATGACTAGAATGGGCGAAAGTTACCACACAAATCTCAACTGAGTTCAAGAAACTTTCTTTGCCCATTTTTGTGGCCTCACTGGCAATCATTCCAGTATTCACATGCATGCAGTGTTGTATTAGAGATATGAGGACAAGGGGGACTATACGTGCAGTTAAGTTTTTAAAAAACTTAAAGAGTCCTTCTGTTTGTGTTGTCTCGTTTGATGAAATGTTTTCAGAATTTTTCTATATGCATTTTGTTGTTGCAGAGCTACCAGTTTCTTTCATGAGGCTTGTCAACTATGCAAGTATAAGACTGGAGTTTTCTTAGACGTGTCTAAATTTTTGTGTTTCTCATTCTTATTACTGCAGAACTCTGTTAATTGTTAACGGAACGGGGAGAAGGTCGTCAAAGCACACTTCACTTCTTGTCATATATCTTTTCATATGTTTCCCAACAGCGCTCTTCAAGATTCTCCGGTGCATCCTAATTTTCTTAATATTTCCTATTCCTTAGTTCTTTATAGCTCTCTTACTAAAATAGCTTTACGTTCTACAGTGGGCAATTTGGACGTTGGGTAGCCTTTCTTGCAGTTGCAGCTAACCTCTTCTTCCCTCGAGATTTTCACGGTACACTGTTAAGTCAGTTATCATCATAAAAATAGTGCATGTGGATAAATATTATTGAAGATTAAAGTTCAACAAATAAACGTTCCCTTCTTAACTGTTTAGATGAGATACTTCAATATGGTATCACACCCAAAAAAATACCTCCCTTCAAGTCTCATCCCCACCCATTTATAAAAATTGTGCATGTATCCGATCTTTTAAAGGATCCAGCTTGACATCAGTGGTGTTTTGAAGCTTAAGTTTAAACAAATAAATGTTTCTCTTCGTAGAAGTTTAAGCTTTCAGATGGTTCAATAATTATGAAGACTCATATCTATTGCCGATACTTGCAGCGTCTCGGTTTCCATTATTTGTCATCATACCCGACTGGTTGGCCGTTGAACTGCGTGATAGTACCACTGTTGGTGGTATCCTTTGTCTCATAATTGGAGTAACACTTGTTTTAATGGAGATTGGACATATTGGACTTACTGACTGGAGATGTAGCCCCCGTTTGACATCCATTCTCTTTCCATTCTCTTTCTCATTTTTTTTCTCTTTCTTCATTTCAACCATACATCTTATCAATAAAATAATATTACACATAAACCCAAAAATTTTTCTTACTTTTCATCCACACATTCTTCCCATCAATCACTATTCTAGAATTTATTCTTCACCAAAATGGGTGTCAAACACACCCGTAATATATGCTGCTGTTTTTATTTTCTTCTTGTAGCATTAATTCTCTATTTCCCAATATTGTATCTGTTTTCAGGATCAAAAACAATCCCTAAAACCTAAAAAGTAATGGATTTCCTCTGTTTGGAACTTTAAATATTTTCTCCTGTTTTTCTTCTATTCTATGCACATCTGTTAGAATGCTTTCATGTTAAGATTAGGACTCAATAGGATGTGATTTTCTTGTTTTAGGGTTACGAATGATAGTGAAATATTATTCATTGTACGATCCAGTACGAACCAAACATGTGGTTTAAAATCTGTTCTTAGCGTTGCTCTCTGTTTTGTGTGTGCATATTGACTGAAATACAAGTGGACAATGCTTGTTGAAGTCGAACCTAAACTCTCACAAGATGATGCTAGTGAGAGCAAGTACTTAAAGTATTGTTAGCCTATTTCTAGGATAATATGTACATTTGGTCAATAAATATATGATAAAATTTTAAGTTGGCTACTAAATTTTAATGTATTTCAAATTAGTTACTAAAGTTATATTTTATTTCTAAATATGTCATTACATCTAGGGTGAACAAAATGACCAAAGCAAATTAGACCAAATCAGAATTGAAACAAACCTAGCGGTTGGATTCGATTCTAAAAAAAATTAATGGTTTTGTTTCTTAGAATCAAGAATCAAACTCATTTTTTATTAGTTTTTTTATGTATATTTTCTTTTATAAATCAGTGAATCATACCAAAAAAAGTTCCAACTTTTGACGGTGACCCATTTGTCTACATTAGTGAATCGTTGTTATTAGACAATATTTTGTATGATGATGGAACTTGATGTTCGTGTATTCAAGTTATGATTACATTGTGTTTGCTAGTTTGAACTTTTATGAATGAATTTTATTATACAATATTAAATTTGATTATTGATAATTTGAAGTTGAATTTGTTGAATGTTTATTTAGGCATATGTTACTAACTTATGGATATAGTGATAATTTTTAATTTGCTTTTATCATTTGAAAATTTAAGTAATGAAATCAGAACCAAATCAAACTAGAACCGAATAGTTCAGTTTCGGTTTGGTTCCATATCTTAAAAAAAAAAAAAAGACTATTGGTTCCATTATCGAAAAAATCATTGGTTCATAGTTTAATTTGGTTTGATTCGATTCTCTTGGAACTAAAAGCAAATGGAACCACGTTCTCCCCTAATTGCATCACTGGTACCTGTCCATCCTAGGTGTTTAACGATCAGTTCGAATGTGGCCAAACAACGATGTCAGTGTAATGCCCTGTGGAGAGATAAAAGGTCAATTTGATCACTAGGTTACCGTGAAATTCAAATTACCTCTTAATTCATCCAAAAGAAACCTATATCAATCAAGGGTCAAGTGACTTATGAACAACGTAGTTGTTATTTATAATCGACACTTGGATTGCATTGTCAAATAATAAAATTACGAATGCTTGATATAATATTGTGAAATCATCAGTGTCGGAGCGGAAGTAATGATCAAGTTTTTTTGGATTGGTGGGAGAGTATAGTATCTCAAAAATTTATATAATATGATATGCGACTTAATTATTTATTTTTATAACTATGGATGTTCGGGTCAACTTGCGTGTATCTCGACTAATCTCACGAAACTCTGAAGTTTATGGTCAGATACTCACATCAGTGGTCATGAAGGAATTCGAACTGGTGACCATTGAAGAGTAAACCTAAAACCTGACCAATTNCTAATTGCATCACTGGTACCTGTCCATCCGAGGTGTTTAACGATCAGTTCGAATGTGGCCAAACAACGATGTCAGTGTAATGCCCTGTGGAGAGATAAAAGGTCAATTTGATCAATAGGTTACCGGGAAATTCAAATTACCTCTTAATTCATCCAAAAGAAACCTATATCAATCAAGGGTCAAGTGACTTATGAACAACGTAGTTGTTATTTATAATCGACACTTGGATTGCATTGACGTCAAATAATAAAATTACTAATGCTTGATATAATATTGTGAAATCATCAGTGTCGTAGCGGAAGTAATGATCAAGTTTTTTTGGATTGGTGGGAGAGTATAGTATCTCAAAAATTTATATAATAGATAGGCTACTTAATTATTTTTTTTTATAACTGTGGGTGTTCGGACCAACTTACGTGTACCTCGACTAATCTCACGGGGCTCTGAAGTTTATAGTCAGATACTCACCTCAATGGTCTTGAAGGAATTCGAACTGGTGATCATTGAGGAGTAAACACAAGGCCTGACCAATTGAGCAATTCCTCAAAGTTTATACTACTTAATTATAAAGCTCGAAAGTTTAAGGATAAGAAATGATTTTTTTTTTTTAATTCTCTAAAGACTAAGGTAAAAATAGTAAAAGTTATGCTTTTGACTGAGAAAATGTTAGTTTCATGCAGATAAAAAATAAAAAATGTGATCGTTAATTGCTAGAAACTGATTTTGGCTTCTCTAGCGAACTTTGAGAAATGTAAGTCGCTTTTGCAAATTTTAAGAAGTTCATGGACTAAATAGTAATTTTTAGAGGCTAAATGTATCACATCTGTGTTGCCTGGAGGATAGATTTCATGTATATTTAACACAAAAACATGTGATATAAGAGTTTTCATCGTACTTCCTCTCACTCAACATAAGCAACTAAAATTCTCTCTTGAAATGTAATTTCATCATGCTGTGTCTCAGCATGAAGAATGACAGCAAGATTTATGGTACAACATATTACTATTACTCAAATGCTTGAATAATCCCAACCATTGGTTGTCGTAAAACTTACCGAGTATATGTTCAGAACCTTTATAAGATCTGTATTGCTCACAGTGCACATGTCCAGGGAAAGCAATTGGAAAGTCGCAACTCGTCTTCTCACTTTTCTCTTCAACTGCAGCTGCCTCCCTTAATAGACTCTTCACGAGCATTTGTGTAGTGGCAGATTCGGGCATTAATCTTGAGTTCTTCATATCCTCAAAAAAGCTTCAATGCCAAGAGCAGCTCTTTCGCACTTGCAATAAGCCCGGATGAGAACCTTGTACATATAAGCATCGGGCTTCAATAACTTGAAGTGCATAATGAAGCATCAACCTGTAAACATCTGTTTATCTGGAGAAATCCCGAGCAAAATCATCTCATCAAGTATATCTAATGCTTCAATATTCATCTTACACTTTTCCAATGCCCTCAATAGAGACGAATACAGAAGCAGCATACTTTTTGTGATATGGGACTGCAGAATGTATTAACATTGAAACGCCGTAAAATCAATAACTTGTCTGATTGTGCTGAATGACAATTTCATACCTCTCGTTGATTAAACAAGAGTTGATCAACCAAAAGGACACATCCATGGCGAGCCAACTTGGTAATCATCCTCGATATATTGTAGGTATAGTGAGTAAATCCTGGCTGATAAATCACCCAGCAGAAGAACTGCCAAGCTGTTTCAGCTGATTTGAAACTCCTAATAAATTTACAAACCAACCGAGTTGTCCACACAAAGTTTGCATTTTCCAGAGCAAACACCTCCCCGGATCTCCAATGCTGCAAGGCACCAGCCAAAGCAGCAGGGTCCAACCATGGTTTCAGTTGAACTTCATGCTTAACATTTCCATGAACACTGTCAGCATCTTCGTCTCCACTCATCCAAAATACTAACAACCTAGTCAAGATCGCCAGCATCAGCATACCACCGCACGCGATCCATGCAACTAACACGAGCAATATTTATGAACTTGCCCGAATAGATGTCATTAATCAGGGCACCAAGTTTACCAACCTGGATTTTGCCAGAATCTTGGCCAATGCATAAAGGGTATTTTGAGTATGTGAGAAATGCGGAATTTTCTTCAGAGTTTCGACCAAAAAGAGAGCAGAGTCAAGCGAGGGAGCTGCGCTGAGTGCATTGGTGACCACAAAGGAGTCTAATGCCGGAGTTCTTAAAAGGACAACAAGGAATTATCAGGAGAATTCGACCGTAAGCTAAGTCTTATTGAATCAATGAGCTTTGCTCTTTAGAGACACAATGTGACCTTGTTTACATTGGGAGATGTTCGGGCAAATGGCGATTTTGCAGGATAAAACTGTTGAGATGTTATTTATAGAGTCTAATCTGTTGCTATACATAACACGAGTTTTGATCGACAAGAAATTCTTACTGCTGCTTCAATTTCTTAATGAACTGAGTGAAAACAAGAAAGACGAGTCTTAGAGAGATAAAAGTATCAAACTGCTAGAACTTTATTGTGCAGATGCTCAAAAGAACTGAAACTCGAGATGAAGGATTACAGGTAATTTTAGGACCGCTAGGAAAAAGTTAAAGAGTCAAGACTCGAGGGTTAAAGAGGTTAATCAGGCTTAAGCTTGAAGGTTAAAATAGTAACAATGAGTGTGAAAGAAAGATGATTCTCAAAGAATTAAAATCAAACGAGGAATTAAAGTTATTGAGATTTATGACAACTAAATATGTTATATGTCAAGGTTACATAGTTTAGGGTATGACAAGTGTAATTTTTTACACTTATTCGAGACCTAAAATAACAATATTTGATAGTTCTTTTGATAAAATATATTCTAAATTGTTATATTTTATGTTTAATAGGTGAAACTCTATGAATGAAAAAAGAATTGAAGGAAAAAAAAAACAAAAGATGGCGAAAAGACACAAAATCTAAAGTGCGGGAACTAAATTGGTTATGGGATTTTTTTTTAGGGAAATAAATTTATTCATTCATCAAATCGGCAAGCAGTACATTTGAAATAAACAAAGGCGGAAAATAAGGCCATTCAACATTAACATGTGATGAGCTAGCAACCTTAGCAAGCGTGTGAGCTACTTGGTTAGCCGATCTCCGAACCCAGCTGATCAACTGTTGGAAGAACCGGGCAGTGACTCTCAATATTGACTCTTTTAGCCCTCAACTGATCAACTGTTGGAAGAACATTTTGTAATGCCCTCCAGAGTAAATTTCGAACCTTCGCTGAAATTTTATATCTCCAAAATTTATTCCAAAAGCTCTCTATGGCAGTATGAGAATGTATGAAAGAATTCCCCATCAGCAACTTATTTCCACTTTTGACTGTGTAAACGCCATTTTTGTCATGAATCCAGTACATTCGATCTTCCCTCCCATGTGCTGTTAAGGGGATTTTTGTGATCTGGCCACGGTCTAGGAGCAACTTTTATAGTCGTTCTTCATTATAATCCCAACTGTTCTCACCTGCTATGAAAAGTTGATTCACAGTGGCATCTTCTCTCCCAGGTCTTGATTCTGAAGTTACAAAACCTTGATTGGGGTTAGGAAGCAAAGGGTCGTGCCATATTCTAATCGATGAACCATTTCCCACTCGGAGTCTACAACCATTTTTCAAAACAAATTGAGCAACAATTATACTACGCCAGATATAGCTTGGCCTATAGCCAATGTTAGCTTCCAAAAATGATGATGTAGAAAAATAGCGTGCCTTATAAATCTGAGCAACCAAAGATGTGGGCTGCGTAAGTAGCTTCCAACCAATCAGGAAGTGGACTTGTCTGTCAAATAAAAATTATTAGAAACAACGCTACAATAATAATAGGTTGGGGACCTCAACTGAATTTTTAAATTTCCGTTGAGACGCTCCTTTTTATTACTCGTTTCATAGCACTTCAAATCTCCCTGCCTCTCTCTCTAAAAAGTGGAATTCTCTTGCTGTAATACATTTGATCCTTTGGATCTAATCAACAGCAGAAAAAGGGTACGAAATGCAGAATTTTTTTTTAAATTTTCGTCAGATTTAAATAATCTTGATTGTTCTTGGATTAATTTTAACAATGATGTTTATGAATTTAATGATCTGTTTATCGAATTAGTGCGATTCATTGTGGGCATATCCGAATTGTTCTTACGACACTTTTGTTCAATGCCATTCTTTTTGACGGTTATACTTCATTGGAATGTTATTTTTATTTTCCATTAGTCTAATTCGTCAGATCCACTGAGAGCATATTTCAATTTATAAAATGGGTTCCTTTTGTGTATACTACGTTTCTTTTTTGAAATTAGAATTTCCCTCTATCATATCACCGTGTATTTTGATCAGTGCATGGATTAATTATTAGTGCGTCCATGAGATAATGCTGTGTATGTTTTTCTTTTCTGAAATTTGAATTTTCGTTTGAAGAAGCAAATATGTCATGATAGAATCTTGGATTTGTTTTTTTTTGGCCTGCAAAATGTATTATTTCTGAATAGAATTTTCTTGGCATTAATTGCGACGATTTGAAGGAGCAGCAAAATGTTGTTGGATCTTTGATCTGTTCATTGTATTAATTCTGAAAGTAAAACTTCTTGGCGGTTTTGATTGCCAACATTTTGAAGGAGGAGGAAAATGTTATGGTGGAATCTTGGATCTGTTAATTTTATTGGCACGTAAAACCTGGTATACCTGCTCTTGGTTAAAGTGAGTCAATGGATAACCTGCATGTCTCCAGAGAAATGTTTGCATAAAGTTTGACCTCATGTTTTCTTTGGATTCTTTCAAGGATCCAATTGGGGACCCTAAGGGTGCCAGTATGCAAATAATAGATAAATGCTTACAGTAAAATAGTTATTAGCATAAAAATTAGGATTTTATAAGAATCCGTTACGTGTAATACCTCAACCTGCATGTTCCCCAGAATGAGCAGAAAATGAAAAGAGGAGAGAAATGTCTTCAATAGAATTAGAAATCAACTTAATAGAGGGAATAAACTTGTAGCTTTTGTGGAGACGTGTTGGAGTATTGCTTCCCACATTGACAACATGGAGCTGAAAAGAAAAGAGGAATTAGCTCAAAGAAGTTAGGGGTTAGATGAATTAGTTGCCCTCGGTTACTGTGGTTGAGATAGTTAGAAATTGTTATTCCAATTAGTTAAATATTTGTTATTGCAGTTCAAAATTCAGTTAGAATGTAGTATAAAAGGTAGTCCAATACTTGATGCAATTCAATTCGGATTTCCTCCTCTTTTCAATGAATAATAATTGATTTACAAAGTTCAGCTTCTATGATTCTCTATCTCCCTCTTCTTCTATTTTTTTTCTACCTTCAGAATAAGTCTACTAATCAACATGGTATCAGAGCAGCTATTTCATAATTAACGCCTTCCGCAAGATCAATCTCCCTCTGTTCAAATTCTGCTCTGGAATTTTCTTTCTCCTCTTCTTCCTGCACACTCCTGAAATGAATTCTGGGAATTCAGCTATCAATCCCTCAGATGATTCTTCCAGTCCATTTTATCTCCATCCAAGTGATAATCCTGGTACCTTATTAGTATCAGAAATTTTTAGTGGAGAAAATTATGTAGCCTGGAGCAAATCTATCAGCATCGCATTGACTGTCAAAAACAAGATCAGATTCATTGATGGTTCCATCACTTCCCCTCCTGCTGATCATTCAGTCGAACACACTGCTTGGCTGCGTGCGAACAATCTGGTTCTATCATGGCTGATGAATTCTATCTCCAAGGACATACGAAACAGCCTGTTGTTTGTAACATCTGCCATGGATCTCTGGAATGAACTCAAGACACGTTATCTTAGGAGTGATGGACCAAGAGTTTTTCATCTAGAAAAATCTTTAAGCTGTATAAATCAAGGTCCCTGTGGAAAAATGGCATCATGCACTTGTGATTTATTCCAGTTTTTACAAGCCAGACAACAGTATGACTATGTCCTCAAATTCTTGATTGGATTAAATGATTCCTTTGCATCCACTCGAAGCCAATTACTACTCATGGTTCCACTGCCAAGCATGAGCAAGGTATTTTCTCTACTGCTACAGAAAGAAAGTCAGAGGCAACTCACAAATACTGGTACATATAATGAGACACATGCTTTGATGGCCAAAAATTTCAATCAGCAGAACTACCAGTCCAAGGCATTCAAAGATAAGCCTAAAACATCTACTTTACACTGCACCTATTGTGGCTATAGTGGACATAGAGTAGACAAATGCTTTCAACTTCATGGTTATCCACCTGGCTGGACTGGACCAAAAGGAAAAAGGAACGCTTCTGCCCATGCTGTTCTTGCAAAACAGGAAGTTCTACCTCAGAATAGTGATGAGAAACCAAGGTTTTCTTTCACTCCAGAGGAATTTCAAAAGTTAATGGCACTTGCTAATCCAACATCATCTGATTTTTCTACCCAGAATGTCGCTCAACCTGCAGCCAATATTGCCTCCACGTCTATTCTTTCTGGTAAAATGCATCCTATGACCCAATCAGGTTATTGCAACTCTACCTCATCTATCTCACACCTCAACTTATCCTGGATCCTAGACACAGGTGCAACGGATCATATAATCTGTTCACCCCTCCTATATTGCTTTGCACCCACATCTGTTAACACACTCATACATCTCCCTAATGGTACTAAGGTCCCTGCTTCCCACATTGGAACCGTTTGCCTTTTTAACACATTATTTCTTCATAATGTTCTATGTGTCCCCTCTTTCTCTTTTAATCTCTTATCCGTATCTAAACTTGCCAAGCACTCTAACCTTAACCTTACATTCACTGCTTCTTCTTGCATTTTGCAGGACTCATCAATGATGAAGACGATTGGGATTGCCTTTGAGAAAGAAGGACTTTACCACCTAACACAAGCCTCATCAAAGGTCCAACTCTGCAAACCTCAGACCGCTCCTGCATCTTCTGCTTCAGCCATCAGTCAAAACCAGTTAGATATATGGCATTACAGACTTGGACATGTATCTAGTTCAAGATTATCTTCCCTAAAACAAATAGACCCTTCCATTACTTTCGATTGTACACATGTTTGTGATATTTGCCCCCTAGCAAAACAAAGAAAACACTCTTTCCCTGTATCACAGAGCAAAACCAATAAAAAGTTTGACTTGATTCATTGTGACATCTGGGGTCCTTTTGGAACCTCTTCTTATTACGGTTTTAAATATTTTTTAACCATTGTTGATAACTTTACAAGGTGCACATGGGTATATATGATGAAGGCAAAATCAGAGGTTCCTTCCCTAATCAAAACCTTTTACAAATTGGTGAAAAATCAGCATTCTATCACTATAAAAATCTTACGTTCTGACAATGGTCCAGAGTTCCTTCTCCCAAACTTTTACACCAAACATGGCATTTTACATCATCGAAGTTGTGTCGAAACTCCACAACAAAATGGCGTTGTGGAGAGAAAACATCAGCATCTATTATGCACCGCTAGAGCTTTGATGTTTCAAGCCAACTTGCCTTTTTGTTTCTGGAGTGATTGTGTTCTTGTTGCAGCCCACATTATCAACAGAATTCCTACCCCACTCCTCCACAACAAAACTCCCTTCGAAATGCTCTTTGACAAGCCACCCAGCCTTTCCCACCTAAAGGTTTTTGGCTGCCTCTGTTTTGTATCTACCTTGACAAACCACCGACAAAAGTTTGATCCTAGAGCTACAAAATGTATATTCTTAGGATATCCTTCTAATTACAAAGGATACAAACTTATGGATTTAGTCAACAACAAAATAATTATTTCCAGAAATGTTACATTCCATGAAACGATCTTTCCTTTCTCAGTCCTTCCAGTCAACAATGAATCACATTCTTTCATGTTTCCATATTCAGCAACCTTCCCAGAACCTCTGACTCAACCTTCCTCGTTTCCATCCTCTGACTCAGTCACACAGCTTGAACAAGACACCTCTCATTTCCATCCCCTACCTATCACTAATCAGTTACCTGATGAAACTCCTCAGCAAACCAGAAGATCTGGTAGGGTTAGACACACCCCAACTCATCTACTTGATTATTTTTGTGGTAACGTGTCTTCAGCTCAAAGGACATCCCAGGCTTCTTCTTCATTTGATGGATCCTCAGCGACAGGTAACTTCTACCCTATTCAGCATTTCATTTCATCACATCGACTATCCACTTCCCATAAAGCTTTCATAGCCTCCATTTCCAACTCATCAGAACCCAGAACTTTTAAGCAGGCTTCACAAATCCCTGAATGGCAAGCTGCTATGAAAAATGAAATTCAAGCTTTGGAATCTAATAAGACTTGGGAGCTTGTCACTCTTCCTACAAACAAAGTGGCCATTGGTTGTAAATGGGTTTTTAAGATTAAATACAAAGCGGATGGAACCATTGAGAGGCATAAAGCCAGATTAGTGGCAAAGGGGTATACTCAACAGGAAGGCTTGGATTTTTTTGATACTTTTTCTCCTGTCGCGAAAATCACCTCTATTCGGCTCCTACTTGCCACAGCTGCAATCAAGAATTGGCACCTTCATCAATTAGATGTCAATAATGCCTTTTTACATGGTGATTTATATGAGGAGGTTTACATGGAATTGCCTCCTGGATTGCATACTACAGGTGGACAGGTTTGCAAATTGCTGAAGAGCATCTACGGTCTGAAACAAGCTTCTCGCCAATGGTTTGCCAAGCTATCTCATGCACTGGTCAACTATGGTTTTATGCAAGGAACCTCTGACTGCTCATTATTCATCAAGAAATCTGATCATTTCTTTATTGCTTTATTAATCTATGTGGATGATGTGATCCTAGCCAGTGATAGTATGGATGAAATTCAGAAATTGAAAACCTTTTTGCATGACAAGTTCACCATTAAAGATCTAGGCCAGCTGAAGTACTTTCTTGGTATAGAGGTTGCACGGTCCAAGATTGGCATCTCCTTATGCCAAAGCAAATATGCCCTTGATATCCTTGAAGACACAGGTCTCAGTGAGTCCAGACCAGTTGCTTTTCCCATGGAATCCACCCTTAAGCTATCTGCCAATGATACTAATTTCTATGAGGATCCTTCAAGCTATCGAAGACTTGTTGGCAGGCTACTATACTTAACCATCACGAGACCTGACTTAGCCTACTCAGTCCAGGTCCTCAGTCAATTCCTTGCTAGACCAGCTGTCAGTCATAATCAAGCAGCAACCAGAGTGTTGAGATACCTCAAAGCTACACCAGGGCAAGGTCTGTTCTTCTCATCTTCTTCAAATCTCCAACTCAAGGCTTTTTCGGACAGTGACTGGGCAGGTTGCATTGACACGCGCAGAAGTGTCACCGGTTTTGCAATTTTTCTTGGCAACTCTTTGATTTCCTGGAAATCTAAGAAACAGGTGACCATCAGCCGTTCCTCAGCAGAGGCCGAATATCGTGCCCTTGCAACCACTACTTGTGAAATCCAATGGCTTCTCTATGCATTACAGGACCTCAATATTCCTCATTCCCAACCTGCCTTACTCTACACTGACAGCAAATCGGCACTTTCGATAGCTACAAATCCAGTCCAACATGAGAGGACAAAAGACATTCAAATTGATTGCCACCTTGTCCGAGAAAAGTTGCATCAAAATGTCATCAAGTTGTTTCACATTCCTTCTCGCCTTCAGCTTGCAGATATCCTGACTAAACCCGTCGGTTCCTTACCTTTTCATCATACTCTTCGCAAGATGAACATTCTTAACATACATGTTCATCTTGAGGGGGGGTGTTGGAGTATTGCTTCCCACATTGACAACATGGAGCTGAAAAGAAAAGAGGAATTAGCTCAAAGAAGTTAGGGGTTAGATGAATTAGTTGCCCTCGGTTACTGTGGTTGAGATAGTTAGAAATTGTTATTCCAATTAGTTAAATATTTGTTATTGCAGTTCAAAATTCAGTTAGAATGTAGTATAAAAGGTAGTCCAATACTTGATGCAATTCAATTCGGATTTCCTCCTCTTTTCAATGAATAATAATTGATTTACAAAGTTCAGCTTCTATGATTCTCTATCTCCCTCTTCTTCTATTTTTTTTCTACCTTCAGAATAAGTCTACTAATCAACAACATGTCATAATCCAGGAGGCTAATGGGACTTTGATTTAAGTAAAACTTATATGCATCTACGTCATTGTTTTTGCTGCATAAAATCCTCCTGATAGCGTGTCGATTTGCTAGTAAAATTTATTGCTTATCTTGTCGGTCTTAACTCTGCAGTATCTTTATATTCGTTTGGTGAATGCTTTGTAGGATTTCAAAACTGACCTATTTATGCGGCAGCAGATTCTTTGTCGCATTTAGAACTTTTCCCATTGTGTTTGTATACGCATTTTCAATATTATGATAGTAAATGGAGATTTTTCCGTAGTCTTCATTTCCTGTACGATTAATTTGAATTCTCCTTGATTTATAATCAGAGAGAATGGGTCGTGGAGTCAGTGCTGGTGGGGGACAGAGTTCTTTAGGATATCTTTTTGGAGGTGGAGAGGCCCCTAATGCTCCGAACGGTTCAAAAAACGAGCCTTCTCCTAAGCTTTCTGTTACTCCCCAACCTGTGGATATCAGTAAGCAGACTCCTGCAGGCATACCTGGTAGCGCCATAAACAACTACCTTCGAGCAGATGGACAAAATTGTGGCAACTTTCTAACGGTACAACACTGTTCATATCATCTTTTCATACTTTTTCCATGCCGAGTCCTACAAGTGAAATTTAATGCATATAGAGAAGAGATTAAATTCCTCTAAACATAAGAGGCTCGAGCACATTATTTGGTTCCTTGGCCTCACATCATTAATATTGAATATTCTGCAAGTACTCATATACTGTTTGGTTCCCGTGAATGAGATATGCATAATGCATTTGGTTGGCAGTAGGAGAAGTTGAAATGTCTCGCCATTGTTTGTTCACTTAGTGGTTTGTCTGTGAAGTCAAGGCTCCTGTAGTTTATTTAATACAAGAGCAAACCCCAATGCAAAATTATGGGCATTGGGCTGCTCTGGTTTTACATACAACTATATTGATCTTATTACACGTTGCTTTAGATGCACATGGTCTTTACTGCTTGAGTACATGCTTGCTTTACAGGCACTGAACACAACCACTTACCTGTTAGAACTAGTGTATATGAGCAATTTGAAAGTTACTTTTTCTAAGAGTAATTCTTACCTTGCCGATTAGTAACTCATTTTGAACTTTCACCATTAAAATAAAATAAGGTTATTTTAGAACTTATTTACTTATAAGTAAACTTTTTAAGCTTGGCCAAACATGCTCATGGTCTCTTTTCCTTTCCTCCTCGATTTTCTTTAGTCAAAAGAAAAAAAAAATTGGGGTAGAGGATAATATTACACAATTTTGTATATCAGTATACCTTTTGGTTTCACATACTGATGCATTCTTCGATTTTAATTCTGCTCCTAGCAGTTCTTTGATTTGGGGGAGACGTGCAATTCCACTTATCTGATGAGTAATTCTTATAATGTTGTTATAGGAACGCCCATCGACCAAGGTCCATGCTGCACCTGGAGGTGGCTCTTCCTTGGGTTACTTATTCGGTGATGGCAGCAAATGATGTCCTTATTCCTCAAAAGTGGTTCGATTGCTTCAATGAATGCTTGGATTACGTGTGGTTGTTTTATTGAACTTTAGTTACGGGGTGTAATCAGCAAAAAATAATTAAGACACAAGCAGTAAGTTCTGAATGTTTTCAACTCATTGGAAGTTTCAATATTTTGTATTCTGATCTCTGTTTCATTTTACTTGCTTGCGCAACATATCTTGTGATGTATGTACCTCGTATGGTGTAGTCTTGTGATTTTCACTAAGTTGTGGGCTTGGGGCCTTAAAAATGATGATATAATTTGGTAGGGATTAAAATTTAAATTTTAATAAAAGTCAAAGTTAACAATTAATTTTAACCATATTATCAACTTTTATCAAAATTTCTAAAACTCTAGTTTTAATTCCTGTTGAATGGGGGGATAATGTGGACTACATTGGGGCTTTAGAATTGGAAAAAATACATAAATACAATTTTACTTCTAACAAGCTTGCACAAATATTTCAAAAATCAGGTAGTATAATACATATTTTTAAGATATTATGAAAGAAATGTAGGAAAACTTTTTAGCTCTGGTTTGACAATCATTATATTAAAACCCTTTAATTTTCATATTCATTTTCATTTATACATTTATATAATAAAATATTTTGTGCATAAATTTAATTTTTTTTTCTATTTTTTAACTATACATCCTCCAAAAAATCACTATACAAAATTTCATTTTCTCAAAATAATGGCCATTAAATAGGGGCTGAATTTAAGATATTTTTCTAGTAATATCATATCCTAATATACATTATCTAAATATTGTTTCTACATTCTCTGTCTTACACTTCATATTTTCTCATTCTTTTTCTTACACTTTACGCTGCAGACTTTCTCATTCTTTTTCTTATGCCTTGTACTTTTTCTCTCTCTAATATATATCATTTAATAAGCCCCTGTTTGGCCCCCATTTTTGGGGGTTGAAAATTTTTAAAATAGTGATTGATGGAAAACTCTGTGGTTGAAAAGTCTTAGATTTGTGTGTAATATTATTTTATTTGATGAAAGTGTGGTTGAAATAAAGAGAGAAAAAAAATTAATGTAATGGAATTTAATTTAATGGGGCTCAAACGGGGGCGAAGTCTCTTTTACATCTCACACTTTCTCACTTTGTTGTTCTAAAATCATGATTTTTCTTTTTTGAAAAATAGATAGTCACAATTTGTAATTTGTGATAAAATTTCGTGATCTATAATTTAATCATATCACGGTCACATTACTACATAATTTGTGATCACGATCACATGTCAATCACAAATTATACAAGGTCACAGTCAGAAAGACACAATTGTAGGTTACAATAACTTACAATTTATGGTCACAATTATGTACAAATCATAGAACATCACACTCACAAAGGCATAAAATGTCGACCAATTTACTCAGAGATATAGATTTATAGGTCATAACTTATTTATCGATCACATATTATTAAATTAATTGATGACAATTTATTTATCCGTCACAAAACATTTTTTATGTTGCATATTATTTATTGGTAACAAATTATTCGTTTTATTGGTTATCATTATTCAATAATTGGTTACAATTCCACCCCACCCACTCTACCATCGCCGAAATCACCAAAAAACACATATGCCCCCTCACCACGATTATTGCATAACCACCTCGCATATTTTATCAAAAACGCTACCGACATGCCGCCTCACCATGCCACCACCATCAAAATGCAAATTTGTACCTACATTGCACAACCACCATCATGCAGATTTTTTTACCGTCGATTTCTCATCTGTACTATGGCTTCAAAGAAAAATCATTTTTGAACTTTAAATTCATATACCATACACCCTACCCATTCCACGCTCAAAATGATTTGCATATACCCAAAAGCACAATTAGGAAATAAGTTTGCATCTGCTCGGAAGAAAAAATAATTTTAAACTATACACTCACCTACCCCACAATCAAAATGATTTGCATTCTATACAAAAGCACAAACAGGAGGCCTCTCCTCTGCATCAGAGACGAAAGAAAAATCATTTTTAAACTATACACCCACGCCACCCACCCACCCCATAGTCAAAATGATTTGCATCTACCGAAAGCACAAGTAGGAAAAGTTTTGCATGTCACAATGCATATCCAATTATCGACATTTTTTGATACAATTTATATATCTATATCTCTCTTGTTTTGCATTTACGAGTATATATTTAAGTTTTGGGGATTTTGAAAATGTACGCCCAAAATTGGGGTTTTAATATCGCTAAGGAGTTTGAGCTGAGCTGTGTATGTAACAAAATTTGTGTATATGTGTAATCTCATTCTATAGTGATATTGAACCATTAACAGGGTATCCTCGTCCTCTAGCTCATCTGGTACATGTAAATTTTCAATGATAACTAGTTATAAAGATGAGAAATCAAACGAGGTGACTGCAAATAGGTCAACGTTGGTATCAGATCATTGTTTCGACGTTAGATCTATGCCGACGCCTAGAGAGAGATTGGCTTGGTTAAGGAGTGTGTACAAGCTGTAATATGTTGAACTGTGGCATTCCTATGAATTTAACTGTTACATAAATGTGTGATAAAATGTTCATCGAATAAGATAACGAAGTGGATTGTGCATGATCCTGAAAAAATAATATGCTACACTCAGGTTTTATCTTTCACCGTGATCTTTACTCGTGTCTTATTTTTTTCGAATGAAAATATTTTGTGAAATCATATTATTGGCTTGTTTGATTATTGCGTACGAAAATCCATTCCACAAAAGTGTAGAATTAGCTATAACGTGTACAATTTTTGTACGACCCGACCACATACGACCTTATGTTTGAGGTCATGATAACCTCGAGCACTCTCCCTGGGCCAAAACATCTTCGGGCTCGTATAAGTGAGCTCGAACTTGGGCTTTAAGCACTTGGACATCTCGTGTCCCTCATCAAGTCCCCTAATTTGATAAGATACTTATCTAAACTCCAAAATACTTTAAAAATTTTTAATCA